CGATCATTATTATTTATTTATTTATTTTCTCTCTTTATTTCTTGTGTAATGATGTACAGATAAATAATAAATACAGGTTTTCACTTAATTTTTTGTGGTAATTCGATTTAAATACTTCACCAACTTTATAAATATATATATATATATATATATATATATATATATATATATATATATATATATATATATATATATATATATATGTGATGATGTAAATAAATAAAATAATAAAATAATAAAATAATAAATAAATGAAATGTTTTCCTTACTGATGAAATACATTAAAAACCAAATCAAAAGGACTATACGTAAACCCTCAGGCTTTTCAGGATTTTAGATAGACCACAGTATTCAATCAGACCCTCTTTGGGAATTATAGTCATGCTTCATATGTAGTACAACTTAGTTTGGTCAAATATTTGGGATTTAAAAAAATAAATAATAAATAATAAATAATAATAATAATAATAATAATAATAATAATAAAGGCAGTCTTGAATAATATAAAAATTGCTATTTCTTTGCAATTACTAGAGTGCCTAAAAAGGCTGAGTTATTTCGAAAGATTTTCGTTCTTCGTTTCGGAAATCGAATGAATACGAGTATTGTCAAGGTCCTTAAAACCCTGCCTACAAATGATGATATTTCTTTCAAGCGTCGCTCTGCAATTCCAAAAGCCGTTTCCTTGATGAATTCAAGAAAGTCTTCATCTCAAAGTACGAATTCTTTAACAGTAAGCGTAAAGCCTCTTGTGAACTATAAAAATCGGAATATTTTCTCTCTGCTGAATATGCTCCTCCTAAAAATTTACCTCCACTAGTTCACTCGACAAATTTCGCCTCATCAAATGGATGTGCTCATGAGAATCGAAACACGATTGCATCTAAAAATATCAAAATGAAAATAAATAAATAAGTTAGGAACGTGATATAAAAATTTCTTTAAAAATAAAAAAAAACATCACCAAAGTCGCAATGTTGACACATACCGAATTGATCAAGGGAAGCTGTGAACAAATATGATAAGTTGTAAGAGCAAATGCTATATGATAATTAGTTCGTAAAATGTCTATTGCGAAAATTCACATTAGACACACTCTTAGATCTACAAGATCTTCCCAGGTATAATCTGAAACAAGGCTCTTATTTTCTTGAGCATACCAGTTACATCTGTTACGAACAGGTGAGTTAAAAAAAAAATTATGCGGTGCCTATCCTCCTACAATGTCAGAAATGCTTTAAATGAAATCATAAACGTCTAAGTCGGACAATTATATCAAATACATGAATCAGAAATATTCTGTACACCACCATCACTCTCCCACGGTGCCGAAAAAGAACATCAAATAAATAATATAGGCACAACTACAGCAAATATTAAAGAAAATAGAAAAAGAAAAGCTGATACCTGGCCCATACAAAGTCACCTGCTATCAGTTGGCCCATTTCAAATCCAAAACTTTCTTGTTATTTGATGAGCCGACCAAACACCAAATTCCAGTGCTAAAAAACTTGGATCCCACGAAGCAAATAAACCAGTACTTCTCCATCCAAACTCCACCATTCACTAATAAGAAAATGCATTACATAGTGGAAAATGTTCGACACAATTAAGACTCGGTAGGTGGGAAATGTTTCAGGATCAAAGCTCATCAATGATAACAAGAATTCATATCAAGATGGGCTTAATTGTAATAAAGAACCGTCCTCATTTTTTTTCCGTGCAATAACGCGTACGAATAGTTACCATAATGCATCCACTTCAACAGCATTAATAGTACATCAACTTTGTTATCCGTATTTTTAGCTCTAAGTCTCTTAACATCCTTCTTGGAGCCTGTAAGACTATTTTTTTCTAAAAAAAAGCAACTTTGCAGTCTGTATTCTTAGCTTATGTCTCATAACATCCTTCTTGGAGCCTGTAAGACTAAGACCCTTAACGACAGCTCTTCGATCCGACTTTAGTGTTTTGAAACCGGCTTTAATGCAAGATAGCAAGATTTGAGACGCCAAACGGTACTTCCTTGCCCTGCAAAGGTTGTGCACCATTGAAGAGTAGGTAAATGAATCCTTCACAACCATCGAACGGAAAACGTGTAGGGCATATTCTAAGTGACCAAATTTACAGAGACTGTCAATGAAGCAATTAGTTGTGACTAAGGAATCGAATGTCGTTGTTTCCAAATGGTCTATATGCCTCTGGGCACCATCAAAATCGCCAGATTTGTAAAGACCGTTGATCAAGATAGTATGTGTATATGCATCCCATTTGAGCCCCCTCTCTTTTGCCACAATCGATAAGTTGTAGGCGTTTTCGATTTTACGTTCCTTGCAATGCCAGTTAATTAAGGTGTTGTAAGATACTATATCGAGTTCATACCCAATCTTAATCATGTGAGCAATTAAGCTATAGGTATCTTGGCTTCTGCCAGATTTCAGCAAAGCACCAACAACGGTACAGTAGGAAAACAAATCGTATGCATATCCTTTACTCTTCATCTCCAAGAAAATTTCAAGCCCTTCCCTAAAATGTTTACGCCTGAAGCACGCCTTCATAACCGCAGTATAAGTAATAGCATTCGGTTCGTGATCCGACACACTAAGCTCCTCTAAAAGGCTCATCATACTCTTCCACATTCGCGCTTTGCAAAGACTACTGATAAGAATGTTGTATGTCACTATATCTAAATCATACCCTTGTTGCTTCAAATACCTAAAGAACATTAGGGCGTTTCCAATGCACCCATTCTTGCAAAGCCCGTTAATCATGATGTTAAATGTGGCATGACAAGGAGAGATATTCTTCTTTAGAATAATTTCGTCCTGGAAAATCTTGTACGCCTCCCCTGGATTTCCCGATTTGAAATAACTGTGCATCAATGTATTGTAAGTCCATATATCAGGAGTGATTCCTATTTGAAGCATCTCATCTAGCATCTCACGACAGCGATGTAATGAGTTCTGCTGCCTTGTGGCACCAGCCATTAAAGAGTTATAGGTAATAACATCAGGAGTTATCTCAGCTTCTTTCATTCTGCGAATAACATCATAACCAGCATCGAACCCGATAAACTGACAATAACCGGTTATCAGAGTATTGTACGTTACGACATTTGGTAGTACTCCCAATTTAATACCATCAACTATAGCCGCTTCTGCTTTCTCCAATTGCTTGGCTCTACAAAGGGAAGCTATAGATATATTTAACAACTTAGTTGATAATCTGAGGAACATTCTCCGAATTAAAGTGACTGTCAAAGCCACAAACCTGCCAAGACAGAATACAGACAGGTGCACATTGGATTAGGCAAACAGTTCATCCAAAAATAAATCGAATATTTTATTCAGGAATCATAAAAAAGACTGAATTTTGTGTTTTATTAAATTGAAAGGAAAGTAAGTGAACCGTACCTTTTCTTGCTGACCCTGATTGCCTGCTGCAAAATGCAATCTGGCCAAATCGAAAAGAAGCTAGATGATGTGGAACAAAACCAATTGAAAGTCCCATGGTTATCTCAGTATCAATTAGCCCAATTACTGCCCAAACAAAGAAAGAAAAATGTTCGAGTTAAACTGTAAATTAGGTCTAAATAAAAAAAATCTAGTCTGAGCAAGATTTGTTCATTTATTCGGATCATCAAACAAGCTTTGAACAATGTTTATGAACAAATGCAGAAGATAAAACAAAACCAGTGATCATGAAATCAAATCACATTTTCGCCCTCTCCCCAAACCCCAGCGTTGAGATTTATCACATTTTCGATTTTCAATAAATAAATAAAATAAAATAAAAATAGAGATTCAACAGTTCAAAGAATCTCAGAGCCTTACAAGGATGTTTCTCGCGAGCCAGTTGGATGCAATTGATAATTATGTCGAGGAGGAGGAAGCAGACGATGATGGCGGCGATGACCCATACAAATTCAGCTGGCGGCGGCACCTCGCTGTGATTCTTCCGCCGCCCTTGGGGAGGAGAAAATGAAATCACCAAACTTAGTTAGCAAACTGAACTGGGAAGATTGACGAACAAGAAAAATCCAAGGAGAAAATGGAGATGGAGATAGGTTTTGGCTGTAGAAATTGAAATTGGAGGTTTTGGTCTTTTAGTTTGAAATTTGCAAATACCCCCCTCAACCTTACTCTATTTTGCATCTTATGTCAGCTCGTAAATCTATTTTGTTTACTTTTATATACTAGTCGGTCGGTCGTCAATTTACTTTGAACACTGCACTTTCATCGATTAAGTTTCATTTACAGTTAGCTTCATAGCCACCCGAAATATCTGAAATGTCTTTTGTAGTTTTGTTTTCTCGATTTTAGCTATACATATATAACCAAACATTAGTGAGGATGTAGTAGTGTTTTATATGTATGAACATATATAATAGTGTTTTATGTCTGATTTACGTTAATATTATAATATATATATATTTACAACTTTAATCAATATGAAAAATAATTATGGTTATGGGCTTTGGATAACCCATGGGCTACATGGTTGGGCTGAATAGTACAACTACTTACATATTTTTCTGTATCTATTCGGGCCGTGACTTGGGAAGCCCAATAGGTAGGTGCTGGTTACTGCGAGTGTTTGGTGCCCAAAGAAATAAAAAATAAAATAATAACATATACATATACATATTATTTTTATTTTTATTTTTTTTAATTTTTTTTTCTGGAGGAGAAGAAAATAAAAAGGGTAACGGACAAAAAAAGTGAAAAACTCCAAATTCCAAGGAGTGAAAAGCAATTTAATAAGGTCAAACTTTCTTCCCCTAAAAAAAAGATATAGAACAAAAAAGGTCAAACTTTCTTGAAACCAAACGCCAGATTTCTCGAATCCATGAATAAGGTTTACGTAATCATATTACAAAATACCACTAATATATTTTTTTGTATATATATTTATATGCATGTAAAATTAGCATTTCAATCTGTAACGTATGTGATTGACTGTGTATATGCCTAATAAATATTGTATGTATATATTTGTGAAGGTAATAATTAAATGTGATTTGATTCACAGCATGCACACCCGTGTCAAAATTGAATTCATTGTATCATTTATTTTATTTAATCACACGCACAAAAACGCACCTACTGTGTGTGTGTGTGTGTGTGTATATAAATTAATCACACCTGATTTAAATTATGTTTTTGTTCATTCAGTACTCCACAAGAAGAGATCTTTGCATAATTAATCACACCTGATTTAATTTTTTTTCTAAAATAAATCTCATATAATATTTGAAATTCAGATATGGAGAAACAGATTCTTGATTATGTATTGGTTCCGGTAGGGCTTGTAGTGATGGTGGGTTATCATTTGTGGCTGCTCCGCCAGATCATCCGCCGTCCCGCCACCACCGTCCTCGGCATCAACTCCATCAACCGCCGCCTGTGGGTTAGAGCCATGATGGAGGTGCATCCCGCTCTTCTTTCTCTTTCTCCTTCATTCCCTATTTACATTTAATTTATTAATTAAATAATCACTCCAAAAAGAAATTGAATTGAATAATTATTAGAAAAAGTATTATAAAAGCATTCTTTTTTCTTCTTAAAAAATCTTTAATATATAATACAATATTGTTTTTCATGTTATTTTTGGGTTGAGATTTTGGGGAGTTTGTTAGAGCTTTTGGGGGAGTTAGACTACAAACCTTGTTATTTACATTGGCTGAATTTGAACCGTAAATTTGATTAAATAATTACTCACGAAGTACACATACACATAAATTCTGTGATTGTATAACTCTACTATTCAAATATAGCCGCTAGAAATAATCAGGTATAGCATTTAATTTTTCGAGCTTTTGAATAGATATTGTTGAAATTAAATCATACCAAGAAACCTAAATATCATAAAATTTGGATTTTTTTTTTTTTTTTTTTTTTTTATGAAATCATTTTCACAAAAATGTTTATACATGATGCAAATCGCAAACAGGACACGTCGAAAAACGGCGTACTGGCTGTCCAAACACTTCGAAACAACATAATGGCGTCAACCCTACTAGCGTCAACGGCGATCATGCTCAGCTCCGTGATCGCCGTCTTGATGTCCGGTGGCACCTCCGGACACCGTCCGATCGGTGAGGTTTACGGGGACAACAGCAAGCTAGGGTTCTCGATAAAATTCTTCTCAATAATGGTGTGCTTCTTAGGGGCTTTCTTGCTCAACGTGCAGTCGATAAGATACTACAGCCATGCGAGCATGCTGATAAACGTGCCGAGCAATATCCACCGGAGATCGAAGATGGGGTCGAAGGATTGCGTGACGACAGCGGAAGAGTACGTGTGGATGACGGTGAATCGGGGGAGTTATTTCTGGTCGCTTGGCCTTAGAGCATTCTACTTGTCGTTCCCGCTATTTTTGTGGATATTCGGACCGATTCCGATGTTTGTGTGCTGTGTTTTGATGGTGTTCTTGCTCTATTTTCTTGATGTCACGTTTCATTTTGGAAGTGTTTTCTCTGCTAATTCTCTGCATGAAGAAGAAGATGGCCTGGTTAATGTTTAGTTAGTTAATTACTATTTACTAGTGTTTAATTATTAATTGTGGGACTAATTTAGAAATAATTAGTAACAGATGATTAAGTAAAGGGCAAGATGGATTCAATACAAGTTGAGTCCTAATTATTGCTCATCCTGTACTTTTAATTTGTATGCCTGCACTAATAAAATTGTAAATTGAGTATTTTTCTTTGTGTTATCAATGTGCATTTGTAATTTTGTATTGAGTTGGTGTACTATGTAGCACGGACACGAAAACAGTGATACGGGAAAATGGGAAAACGGTATATCCCAAAAATGGGGATACGGGACCTTGGGGAAACGTATAAATATTAAAAGTATAGGGGTATATTTATAAATATATTATATAAATTTTTATTTAAATATAAATTATATTTTTATATGTTTTCACACAAACATATTCAAAATAATTTTTACTATCAATTTGCAATGTTCATTAAACTGTGTAAATTAGCGAAACAACAAAAATATCTGAAAATTTTATTGTTCAAACATGTTTATAATTTGTTAGAAATTGCAAAATGATCCATACGGTGTCGGAAGGTGTCCGACACGGAACGTATCCGAAACGTAGATGATGATTATACGTCTATGAATTATAAGAATTTCCCACAAAAGATTGTATTTAATTCTGCTATTGTAAAATCATAATGAAATTTGCAATAGAAGATCCACACATTTTTTATATGGTAATAATAATAAAAAAGAGACACAAACGAACAGAGTGATGCCAACTGTCAAAGCATTGATCTTGTAACGGTCATAACTAACTTCATGAAACAAGGCATCTTGATCTCCCATTTCCCCCAAGTAATAATAAGGCCAACGAAAATGAAGCTGTACCATTCACAAACTATGTAAAACAACCACATCTCCACCTCTATAAATACACTATTTCACCCCTCAACATAAACACACAAAAAAGAAATAAAATAAAATAAAAAAAAAGAGTGCATTAATAAGAGCTTTCTGCAGTCGAAAGCTTTTTCCGGTCATTTGCACAGCCTATCTTTCTCGCCCGACTTAATCGTCCAATCAAATCGCGAGAAAGATAATCATGGGAGGCTGCGCAAGCAAACCAAAGGATTTGGACACCGACTGCAAGGTCCCCGCCCCTATCGAGGCACCGGCCCCCGCCCCCGAATCGCCAGCTGTTGCTGCCCCTGCCCCCACTGAGGCACCGGCTGTTGTAAGCACCGAGGCCGAGGTTGCTGCTCCACAAGTATGTATATATTTTTATTTTTTTTATTATTGTTTTGATTATCATTTAATTCCTAATCTTTGTTGTCTAAAATTGAGGTTGTTTTTATTTTATTTTTTTATTGAAGGAGAAAAAGGAAGATGGAGTTGTTGAGACAAAGAAGGAAGAACCTTTGGTAGATCTGTCTGAACCGGCTCCTGTGGCCCCACCAAAGACCGAAGAAACAAAAGAAGAATCTAAGGAAGAAGATGCTCCGGTCGAGAGCAAGCCGACAGAATCCGAACCAAAGGCTGTTGTGGTGGAGGCTAAGGAGGAAAAGAAAGAGACAGCATAGATTATTAATATTAATATCGTTGCTGCTCGAAATCTGAGGACGAAAAAAAACGATGCACTTTTTTAGTTGAACTATAATAAATTGTTTAGCCTTTATTTTATATTTGCATCAATTAATTACATTATGAATTTATGATATATGGTATTTCTCATATATACTTGGTCACATCAGAAACCAAACAAGACACAACTTTCTTGATTAATAACTTCTATATCGAATACTTCAAAACGAACCAAAGTGTATTGTCAGTGGACGCCAGGGGCAGTCGCCCCCCTCCATCGATTTTCCTTCAACTTCATCGTCGTCTTTGACAGCTCGTAGAATCCGGTGCACCTTAAAACATATCAAATTAAATGTTCAGACACAAATCCTAAATACATTCATCATAAGTGAAAATCGAAAAAAAAAAAAAAAAAAAAAAGTGTTTTTGTTTATTACCTGCTAAAAATCACGGTGTCGTCAGCTAATGCACCGATTATCCAATACACCACATACTCTGATACATAGCATCAAGCAATCCATAACAAAAGTACAGCCCCGCGGAACCAACACCGTCTTTAAAATCGAGCTCTTATCCGGTAAATTAAAACAAGAGTAATCAAGCTGTTTCGCAAGGCCGCCTCCCCAAATAGCAGTACCGAGAACAACGACAGTTAAAATACCGAAAATGCCCCTAGCCCTCCTACTCTTGAAACTAAAATCCATAATATAGCCTATAAAAACAGAGCCAATCATCTGTGCTGCCCAGTAGGGCTTAATGGGAATTTGCGGCGGCCGCGTTCCGATTTCTTCATCTTCTTGCAGACCCATGATTGAAGCAAAGAATCAATCAAGAATTATAACTGTAGATTTGTTTAAATAAATATCCACTAAGTACACGTACGCATGGAAGTGTGTGTGATTACATATAAATCTACGATTCAAATACATCTAGTGTAAATAACCAGCTGTGACATTTAATTTTTCGTGTAAAAACACATATCTAATAAAGCCACTAAATTTCTTCTTTACATAAATCATATTACATTATTTGGTAATAACCTTATTTAAAGACCATCTGATAACTAGGAGGGTAAAAACGAAATATAAAAAGTAGAGTACGATTGCATGTGGAACACCATAGACACGTGGCCAGCTTTCATTTGAACGAACAAGAGTACCCACTGCACAATCCAGTGGTGCTGCTGTAGGGGAACAAAGAAACGGGTCGGGTACGTGGCAATTCGGGTACGGGTTTCTCAAAATTCAAATACTCCACCACTTCCTCCATGGTGGGCCTCCCTTTATTATCATTCAACGTACACATCAGCCCAACTTCTAAAGCCCGGTTCGCCTGATCCGGGTTCACAACCGGACCCATCCTCCTATCCACTAGCTTCCCTTTCTCACCACCCACATGCATGGCCCATGCAAGATCCAACAAATCCATCTCGCCCGGCCCGGATCTCCTAGCCCGGCCCGACACAACCTCCAACACCAAAACACCAAACTCGAAAACATCCACTTTTTGACTCACCAACGACTCGAACCGAGTCGACTCCATCGAGGACAAAACGAACCCGAAGTCACCCACAAGTGCCCTAAAGCTAATATCAAGAAAGACACTACTAGCCTTCACATTCTTGTGAGCCAACTCCTTCGAGTGGAGATAGCTCAACGCCTCCGCCACGTCCTTCACCACCTTAAACCGACGGGTCCAGGGCAAAACCCCGAACCCTAACAACCACTTGTCAAGACTTCCATTAGGGGCAAAATTGTAAACAACAATAGTTTCTTGACGATCAAATGACCATCCCCTTATAGGAACTATATTCGGGTGACGAATCTTGCCAACCAATTTGACTTCCTTGATCAATCTCCGCCTCTCCGATCCACGCGAACTGAAGAACTTGCTGTAAAAACGCTTCACCGCCACATTACATCCATTTACCAAAGTACCCTTGTATGTCACACTCCTAGTATCACTCCCCAAAACTTGCAACTCGCCAAAAGCCCGTGTCGCGGAAGAGATCTCAGAAAAATTGAATTTTCGGGCCCTGTAATTTGGAGGGGCGGGCCTGTGTTTTTCCTTTGTAAAGGAAGCGGTTTCATCGGAATAATTCTCATCCTTTCGCTTGCGGTTCAAATACAAGTTAATCATGATTATAAAGACAAGTACAACCACAGCCACAAAAATGTAGAAACTTGTGGGTGTTTTGCTAGGAACAACGTGAATATTATTTCCACCATTTGCAACAATAATTTTGCTTTCGCAGGTCTCCGTTGAAGGAACACGGAGCGAAGCCCGGCTAACGGAAGTGAAGTTCCACGAACATACGGTGTGCACCTCCGTGTGATTATTCCCCGTAGAACCCGAAAACCCAACAAACATGTACTCATTCAAATAAGGCGAAAGATCAAGATTACCGGAATATACCGCTCGAGCAGGGAGTATTCCGTCCGGCCCGATATAGATTTCGAAGAGCTTCATAAGCCCGTCGTAGATTATCCAAGCCCGATGGACCTTCCCATCATTAAGATAAACCCCAAAATCCGAAACATTGATAGATTTAGTGGAAACTATGCTTCCAAGATTGATGCCCACATGATTATCATTTAGGTCACCAAATTCTGGATTCATTCGAGTATCGAATTCAACCGCAACGACTTTGTACTCATCTTCACATGCATCGTTCATCATCCCTAGCCACGGGCCGGGCCTACCAACCGTGAGCTCGTCCGGTACGATGACGAAACTGAGGCCACCGGAAATGGGGCCGGCATCATTTTCCGGGTTTTGGATTTGGAAGGAGAAGGTGGTGGTGAAGGAGGCGGCGGTTTGAGTTTTAGGGTCAAACAGGCGGATTGGAGATGAATAGATTGCTCTTCCGGCAGAGTATTGGAGATTGTTTTCCGGGATTTGAATGCAGTTGTTTTCGGTCGAGATTGCCGCACTGCCCAAGAGTGTTATGTCTTGACTGGTGCTGAAATTGGGGAAAGAGAGGTACTTCGTTACATTGATTTCCGGGCCGGAAGCTGGTTTTTTGTTCGATGACGATTCGACTATTAGTAACGAGTTTAGTGTCAGTGTGGTTGTGAGGATTATCATGAACAAGAAAGGATTGAAGAGCAATCTGTGGAGAGACATGATTGATGAGATGGAAAAGTGGAGTACGTTTCTTGAAAGAAGAAAGTTGTGTTCTTGAATTTGTATGGAAGTGTGTTGTGTAAGGGTCATATTAAGGGGCAGACCAGGGGGTGGGGATTTTGATTATGTGGTCCTGCAGATTCTATTGTCTAAGTTATCACATAAAAGCTATTATTGTTATTTGTTGTGTGTTCATTGGCTGAGGATGAAATTCATTGAATTATTACACAAAGGAACTGAATCACTTACATTTTATTTGTGGTCTGTCTTTATTTACAGGATAGGTCTGGCTACACTTCCTTAGTGATTGCTGTAGTGAAAGTTTAGGTTCATACTTCACCAAGTCAAGTATTGGCAGCATTCGTCTTTCCTAGCTGTTTTCATTAATAAAATAATAAATATATAAACATGTAGGTTCATAAGGCATTTAACCTAATTACCATTGCATCATTTCAATAAAAGTTTCATTTGAAATCGAAAATTTATTTCCGTAATTTCAATTATCATTACAAATGGCCGATTCATCCGCAACATTATTTATGTCAAAAGATATACTATAAGAAAAACATTGAGAAATGCGAATATATAATTGTTCCGAATTCAAAACACAACCAACCAGCCACATTAAGCAGTTCTACCAAAACAAAAATATAAATTCAAGTTCAAAAATGTGTCTAATAAAGTAAACTTAAATTGAAAAACAGAGAATAACCAGTCAAAAAACACGCGGTAGCTTGAAAAGAAAAACCTAACTACCTACTCTTCGACAGCAATGGCTCCCTTCTCACTGACATAGATACCATCGAGAAACTTCCTAATATCCTTGTTCTTGACGTGACATTTCTGCAAACGAAAAATAAATTAAAACCAGGTCTCGGTTTTTAAAGTGTAGCAAAAATAAATGATAGAGAAATGCATATATTCATAAGAAATAAAGATCTAGTATATTACTTGGTTTATCAAGGCAGCAGATCGTGACACAAGTTCAATGTCGTTTCCGTCCAAAACCAGTTCATCCTTAACCTTCTCAGATCGGACGATTGAAACCCCATCAAGCATATCAACCTTCCTCACCTGGCATAAATCCCAACAAAGAAAATGTCAACACCGACACAAATTAAGCAATGATTCTGCTATACAAGTAGATCATATTCGAGCAAGCAAAATACCCATGAATAAGAACATTATCAAAAAAATTATAATCAGTGCGCCACCATGAAATGCCTAATAAACATGTAGCTAAAGATGTTCACTATGAATACACCAAAAACAAAACAAGAATTGAACATGTAAGCAATTGAAGTAAACATATCTGTATTATAGATTCAGTTTTATCATGCCATACAATTTGATCCACAAATATAACCGATGATTCAACAAAAACAATAACATTGATAGCAACAGCAGCAATCAAAATGTGAAACTTCAAACAGGTGAAATTGGAGTAATTTCTACACATGTGAGACCTAGTCATTTTATTGTTCAGTGAAACCTAATGCTATTAGGGTTAGGTCACATTCAAAAAATTTACCCAATGAAAAGACTATCAGTAATCAATATTTAACAAACTACACAGTGAAATATAATCAAAATTGTAATATTGACAAAACAACGATACGAATTTCAGCAAAATCAAATCTAATGACCTAATCATGAAATACGGCGTATGAGATCAAAGCCCAAACATACAAACAACAGAAACGCAAATAACACATCTCAACATTCAAAATAATAAAAAATAAAAAAATAATAAACATAAAAATGAAATGGTACCTTCTTCTCGCCGAGGAAGTTTCGGATCTCGATAGCTTTTCCGTTACCGCTGATGGAAGCGTTGATCGGAAAGTGAGCGTACACAAAACGCATCTTATAGCGGTAACCCTGGGTAACGCCCTTAATCAGATTGCTGACGTGGCTGAGGGCGGTACGAATAGAGGCGGTAGTTTTCCGGCTACCGAACCAAGCATCAACCTTCAGCTTCTTCTTCCCGGTTTCCTCGTCGGTGGTGAGCTGGAAATCGAGATTCAAATGCTTGAAGTTACGCGAAAGCTTACCTCTAGGACCTTCAACTTCGATAACCTTCGCATTCACCTTGATTTTGACGCCGTCGGGGATATCCATGGTGTCGGAAGAGAGGATCGTCTTCATTTCGGCGTCTGTATGTGTGTTTTTTCACCGCCGTGAATGTGTGTGAAGTGTGTGTGCTGTGACTGCTGAATTCTGCAACAAAAAACACATTTTATGCTTCAGAGAAAGGGCAAAACCCTAGCTACGGATTATGGGCCGGAGTTGTATAATTATTATGGGCCGGTTCTTCGGTTTGTTATTGGGCTTAATTTCTCGAGTTATTTTTATTTTGGCCCAAGTATATTAATAGAAATAACTAATGGGATTATTTAGACTATAGTATTGGAGTTAATTAATAATTAATATTGTTACCATCCTCGACGATTTGATTGACCTTTTTTCTTTAGTTTTTCTTCGTTTGACTCTCCATTAATTTCCCGAAAATAAAAAGAGTATCCATTTATTTGTGGGCATTTTTGTATATAGTTATTACTACATATTGAAAGAGAGAGAAAAAGAATCTTGATTTTTGTTTTCCTTTTGATTTATACTCACACATGTTGAACCCAAAAACAAGCCATTCTACAAGGGACTTATAATTTGTGGGGGGGAAAAAAAAGATTATCTCAAAAGGGAGAGAGATAGATGCAAATTTGAAAGAAAAAGGCTTGTTTATATTGGATGATGTTGCACTTAGCTATATATAAGTGAACATATATTAACACACACACACATAAGTTACAAGTATGGAGGTGAAGAAATGGATAATAGATGCAAGAGTACTACTCGGGATGCTACTGGTACAAGTTATTTCAACAGGGTTACAGTTACTTTCCAGGATTGTACTGAGTCAGGGCATCTTCGCCTTCGCTCTAATGACATATCGTCATGCCGTTGCCGCCTTAGTCATGATGCCTTTCGCTATCTATTTCGAAAGGTTATTATTTTATTTTATTTTTTTATAATTTATTGAAATCATCGTATATCGATTTTCCAGTTAAAATTTGTGCTTGTTTTATTGTGATGAGAATCTTAATTATCTAATGCAGAGGTATTTTGAAAAAGCTTACGTTAATAGCTTTCTTCTGGGTTTTCATGGTGGCATTAGTTGGGTAAGGAACATGTTTTCTTTTTCTTTAATTCTTCATTTTTTTTTAAGTCATATGCTTAATTATATTAAAGAATAATTTTATTTATGAGCAATGCCTATATTTCGAAAGAAGAATTTCTTATTTAATTTTTTTTTTAATTATGATTATGGGGGAATTTTATTTATTTATTTTTTAAATTCACTTAATAAATTTTGTTCTACAAATAAATGTAATATAATATATTTACACATATATGATGCAGGATAACCATGGCGATGGGATTATTCTATTATGGTTTGAAGGAAACCACAGCAACATATGCTACAAATTTCACTAACATTGTTCCAATTCTCACTTTTCTCTTCTCAACTATCCTAAGGTATTATTAAAATAATAATAACATATTTATTTTGATTATTATTTCATAATTAAAATATATATTAGTTTGAATTTAATTTATTTTAATTAGGATGGAAACATTGGGACTTCGAACTAGAGCCGGCAAAATAAAAACTCTCGGAGCAATTCTATGCCTCGGAGGAGCATTGACTATTGTTCTATACAAGGGTAAATCATTTCATCTCACTCATAATCACAACGAATCGAAAATCATCCCGAAAACGACGCAAAATAAAACTCGAGGAACTATTTTTCTCGTAGCGAGCTGTTTTTCTTACGGTGTGTGGTTTATTCTACAGGTAAATTATTAATATATATAATTTATAATAAAATGTTATTTCCGCAATAATATAATTAAAAATTATATATGTACATATATGTAACAGGTGAAATTATTCAATGTATTTCCATATAAATATACAGCAACTTTTCTCATATGCTTAGTAGCTTCAATTCAAGATGTGGTAATTGGGTTATGCATGGATAGAAAACCAAAATCTTGGCAGTTGGGTTGGAATCTCCAACTTATTACTATTCTTTACTCTGTAAGTATTATTAATTAATTAATTAATTAATTAATTACCTTTTATTTTATTTTAATACATAAATTAAAAATTAAAAATTGAAATTTTTTTATTTTTATTTTTTAAATTATAGGGGATATTGGCAACGGCTGGTTCGTTTACTTTGATATCATGGGCAGTTACACAAAAAGGACCAACATACCCTTCAATGTTCAATCCATTAGCACTCATTTTTGTCACTATAACAGAAGCACTTTTCCTCGGTGAGGCTATTACTGTCCAAAGGTATACAATATGATTAATTAATTAATTACATAATCTTAATTAATTAATTAATTAATTAATGTTCATACTCTTAATTCATAAGCTTATTGAATTGATATAGTAATTAATGCAGCTTGATAGGGATGAGTTTGATTATTGTGGGGTTGTATTTGTTCTTATGGGGAAAGCACAAAGACATGAAAGGCGGCGCCCGTATTCCGGTCAAAGAAAGTGGTGGCGCTGGCGGAGATGCTCCGTCGGTCGAGCCGGAATCTGTTAGATCGCAGTCGTCCGCCGTAGTTGTTCCAACCGCTTCTAGTTAATTATAATTACAATTAGAGAGAGTTAACGGTTAGTTACATATTATCAAACTGTATCAAACAACAAATGTACCTTCATTTTCAAAAGAGTGTTATTTGATGGTTTTATTTATTTATTTATTTAGGGGTGGGGTCTAGTATCTATGGCTTAACTACGTAAATTTAAAAAAAAAATAATAATAAAAAAAAAAAAAAAAAAAAGAAAGAAAAAAAAAAGAGAGAAGAAAGAATATCAAATATCAAATGCTTCGATTTGGGCTACAAATTAGGCCCACGGGCTATGGTAGTAACAAAACAATTTCTTACTTATTACATACAATTAGTGATGAACAAATTTCGGCCCGCGGCCCGCCTACAGCCCAGGCCTGTAAAGCAAGCCCATAGATTCAGCCCGCCCAGTCCAGTAATATATTTCAACGGGCTGAGCCCGGTTTTGTATCCTATTTGGGTTTTAATGTGCATAAGTAGAATCAATTAACGCAAAATCTGATCTGGTGTTTAAGGATTTCTTGCTCTAGCATTATCAATTAATTAATTAATCATCAGGACAAAAAAAAAAAAATATTATGTGAGATGAAGAATCTTAAATGAATAAATAAAATCGGATTAATATAATATAATGAAGCTGCATAACTACCAATTCTTATTTAACTCCAATGTGTTCCCCACTTAGATGGCATTGCCTTTTCCATTGTCTTTTTTATGTTTTCTTACTATATTTATTTTTTAAATGTATCAACCCAAAAATTCACATGGGAGACCCTTTTTAATCAGTTAAAATAAATGAACTTCAATTATTAAATATATAGAATTTCCCTATGTTTATTTATTAATTTATTAAAGAGTATCTCTTTCGAGAAAAGGAGAGTGAAGATTGAAAAATCTATGGGCACCACATAATTACCAAGGGGCAATTAATTTTGGTTCACAGCTTTAATTAGTGGCCAAGACCACAGAAAGATATCTACCATAACAATACTTTGCTTAAAAGGGTCAATTTATGGTCGGCCCCGAAAGCGATTTTAACCGAAAGTAACGTTTTCAGGTTCAATGATTTTCATCCTCCAATACTTTCGTATCCATGTGCATTGAGAAATTTGGGTTTTGTAATTTTGCACCAATTTGGCTACTCGATAACCCGATTCCAACCAAATCCACAATCACACAGTTTTGTATCCATACGAGATTTTTATTGAAGAGTTGTTAGTATTATTGAATTTTCAATTATGTAAATAGTGGCCGAGTAAAAATAAAATTATCTGGTGTATTTCACCGAGTGTAATATCTACAAAATCGTTAAGACTAAATGAAACTAGAAGTGTGTTTGACTAAGCTTATTAGATGTTAAAAAGAGCTTATAAGATCTTTCGGTAATTTAGAAAGAAAAACACTTATAGAACAAATAATTTTTTTTAAATTAATATTTCTACCATATCTTTTATTTAAGATCTTATTAAATAAACTCTCTAACAAAATAATTTAAAAATTAATTCTGAAAATAAACTTAGTCAAACGGTCCTAAATTATCATGAATCCAAACTTGCTCCAGCCCATGTTACGCGGTACGCGCTTACTGGATTAAAACACTGACGGGGCCCACTTGTGGCCTGTTTTGATGATGACATCATCATTGTCATGTACTTTGCTTTTTGGGCCTTTCGGTTAAAAATAACACAAAAAGTAAAACAATTAAAAAATTAATAAATAAAGGCATACATTCTTGAAAAATATATACTTGCATGAATAAGAATAAATATACAAATTATGATGTACAATATTCGACTTATATCTTCCCATTAAAGCCACCAAAATATACTTGCACGCCTAAGAATAATTGTGTAAATTATATTTTAAACAACACATATATAACTAAATTTACAGTTCGAATTCACCAGCTGTAAATAATTAGGTCGTATTCTGATGTAGCTAAAAAAATTGTATAGTGGAATTTTCTCTCTTTAATATATTAAATAAAAGTCTACAATAGATATTCTTTAATTTTCTTCAGTAATATAATAAAATTAGAGAAATTATATTAAATTAAGAATAATTGAAAAGAGAAGAATATTAATGAGTGGGTGGCGTCGTTTTATATCATCAAATAGGCAGACATCGGAATTGGAATGGTGGCGCACTTGCTGGGTGCTACAAATATATCTCAATTATTATTTATTTTATTCTACTAAATTAAATATATTATTTTATTAACCGTCAAAATATAAAAAAAATAAAAAAATACAAAAAGTTGTATTCTGCGACGCAACTCGCCAATAAATAATACCCACTTATTCCCCTAAAAGATAATAATAAACGTACTCCAACACACATAAAACACACACACACATACATACACAGAAGCAATTTCTCTCTCTAGATTTTATTCTTCCGCAAATACTATATATAATATATATACCCCAGCTGCATTCTGCGGACAATAATTAACATTGTTCCTTGTGTTGATCGTAGGCCGTCAGAAGATTTTTCGTTAAATTTAAAGAAAGAAGATTTTTTACTTTTGTTTTTTTTTGTTTTGGGGGAAATCTATTGTGCCCTATTTTTCGTTAATAAAAATCCTTGAATTAGTAAATAAATAAATAAAAATCTGCGCCTAAAATGGGGAGGAAGAACAGAGGAATAAGCAAAGGAAAGGTGTCGAGAATTGGGAGTTATGCAATCGCTTCGTCAATTAAGGATCCCACTTGTGTTTCCTGCACAACTTTCAATATTCTCGCACCCATTTACAAACGACTCGATCACGATGTAAGTATTTCGAAATTCGCAGAATTTGTTTATTTATTTATTTGTGTTAATTGGAATTGATTGATCGGTTTGTAGAAATTGATTTTAATTTGGTTATGGGTTTGTGATAATGTGGCAGGATCCAAGTTACAGGGAAAGTGATGAAAAAGATAGTTGGCTGGATAGAAACCAAAGGATTTTGGATTGGTTGTTATGTGAAAGATCTTCCATTATTTGCCTTCAGGTTCTCCATTTTCCCCTATTTTAATTCAAAATTAGGTTGTTTTATGTGATTTTCTGTGTGAAGATTTGATCTTTAATGATACTTAATTACTTATGAAGTTTTTTTATGTTTTATTTGCAGGAATTTTGGGTTGGGAATGAAGAGTTGGTGAATATTTACGATAAGAGGCTCGGTGATGCTGGTTATATCAATTTCAAGCTTGCCCGAACAAATAATCGGGGCGATGGTATGCGACTAATCTCTTTTAACCGTTTTCGAAATACTATACATGTGTTGAAATTTGAATGAATTCATATAGAAGAACAATCGGATTTTGAAGATATGTCGAATTTTGACCATCTCATTTCGAACTGCATATTATATAATTGAATTTTCGTTGCTACAATCTTCTAGTCCATGGAAAATGAGTCAATCACTTTGTTCTGGATGAAGAATCTTCTAGAATCCATATCGAATTAAATATATGTTAGTCATAGTCAAATTGAAGTTTGATCTTCTTTCATGCAACAACAAAAATCCCTTCCAGAAGAATCGACCTTTATTTCAACAGCTCGATAAATCAGTGATCTTGTTTTCCGTTCGTAAGTATATTTATTCTTTTTTTTTTTATTGCACAGGTTTGCTAACTGCTGTGCACAAGGACTATTTTAGAGTCATCAACCACCGAGAGTTGCTTTTCAACGATTTTGGTGACCGGGTGGCTCAGTTATTACATGTCGAACTCGTTGCACCCTTTACACAATATTTAAACAGTAATGTTCGCCAAGAACTACTTATAGTGAACACCCACTTATTATTTCCACATAATTCAAGCTTGTGCTTGGAGCGATTGCGTCAGGTATACCAAATTCCATCCCATTCATACATATCATCCGTTTCTTTTTCTTAAATAATTTTTATTGATCTTATTTGGTTATTCAACCGTCTCGTGTTTTTTCGATAGGTCTACAAAATATTGGAATATGTTGAATCATACCAAAAAGAAAACAAACTTAACCCGTTGCCTATCTTACTTTGCGGGTATGCCTCGTAAATCTCCTGTTTTTACATTTGAAATAAATCTTTTGACTATGATTACATGGAACTCAAAAGCAATTTTTCTTGCATTTATTTTAATTTTATAGTGATTGGAACGGAAGCAAACGGGGTCATATTTACAAGTTTCTTCGATCTCAAGGTTTCGTATCATCTTATGATACTGCTCATCAGTATACTGATGCAGATGCTCACAAGGTATATTATTTTATTCAGTTTTTTATTATTTTTATTTTTAATATTTAAAAAAAAATTGTATTTATGATGTCATGTCCTTTTGTGTAGTGGGTGAGTCACCGCAACCATCGTGGAAACATCTGCGGTGTTGATTTCATATGGCTTCTTAATCCCAATAGTTACAGAAAATTGCTTAAAACTAGTTGGAGTGAAGCAATTTTCGGAATGTTCAAGGTGCGATATTATATATATTTATTTATTATATATATATAATGTTGATTATACCTAAAGCTTACATATTATTGTTCATACAGTATCATCTAAGACGAGCTTCATTAATAGAGGATGATGCATTTGCGTTCCTAAAAGCTGATAGCGATGGTGATTACATCACCTACTCGGGTTTCTGTGAAGCATTGAGACATGTACGTTTTCATTACATATATCTTTTTTTGCCTCATTACTGGTATTAGTTCGTATATTTACGTATATATTCTCTCTTTAATTCAGACAGCTGAACTTGATTGGCAATTGTAACGGATTGAGTGCTGAAGAGTTTACAAGAACTGTGGGTCCAGGCGGACATTGACGGAAATGGTGTTCTTGACTATAAAGAATTTAAGGTAGTTTTTTTTCTTTTTCTTTTTGGGAAAAAGATTAATATATCAAAAGAAATGATTTTTGACATTTTTATTGTATTGATTATAGCAACGGATATGGAACGCATCGCGATCCGAGCAAGGATTCGATGCGGTCGATGACGAGTGGGATGATGTCATCAATGGAACAGAGCAAACAATTGGATTCAGTGTAAAAAACGCCGTTCTTTTCCCTACAGAAGTAGAGAAAGGAATGTGGCCAGAAGACTACTCTCTTTCTGACCATGCTCGACTAACGGTGGTCTTTTCACCCTTGAGAATGCCCTGCTCTCGGTTGACAGCTTGATGTAAAATGACGAGAATGCCCTTTTCAGAATCCGGATTTGTTGGGAGATCAAACTGGAAGGTGGCGAGGAATGCAGGGGCCTCGTCGCAAGAATTTGGTCGTGTAGAAAAGAAGAATATTGCAATATATTTATATATACCGTTACCGCGGAGGTAATTCTTTTGATATCTTGAGAGTGTGGAAAAATAAGGAAATTTCATACTATGAGAGAGTATTAAGATAGAATTTTTGGCCGTGTGTAAATAAATAGAAGTTGAGGGTAGGAAGTATAATTTTGTAAAATGTGGGGGTTGCAATCTCATTTTGTAGTTAGAGTGATATTGCAGCATCAATTTATTATTACTGTTATATATGTATGAACTCTCTGTTTTTGAAAGAGAACATTATATTATCATTATTATTATTTATTATGTTTGGATTATAGTAATGTATCTGTTTGAATTATTATTAAATAAAGTTGAGTTGTGAAATTCAATTTGAATTATTAGTTTGGATATAATTTATTGAAGAAAAAATAATCAATATTATCACATTGCAAACAAACAAAACATTCATAAATATCCTAGCATTATTAATATATCCTTAAGCCAAAGTAGTGGGTGTCCATCAATGTTAGCTGACTTTCTTTGAAATAAATAAATAAATATCTTCAAATTGTTAATTATTGAATTGTGACCTTTTGAGATATTATTGGGGGTTATTGCTCAACACCCTTTTCAAAAGTGAATGTTTTTGCTTTACCAATCACTTGTTAATTGCTATATAAAAGCTTTTGCATATGCTTAAAAGACACTAATTAACGTGGTGTTTTGCTAAGCTTATAAGTTGTTAAAAGAGCTTCTACAATGTTTAAGAGCTTATAAGTTCTTTCAGAATGTTCGGATTTTGGAGGAATTATTATTATTATTATTATTTTTGTTTTTCTTTAATAGGCTTTTGAAAAGGCCTTTGAATCGAGTTTTCTTGTCATGGGCTATTTGGGCCTCTTGGGCCAAAACTTAACTAACCCAATCACTTGTAACAAGATTACAAGTGTCTCAATTTTATTCCCCTAACTAATGTTTTTTAAATTATGTACTTTAATTTATTAGGGAACACAGCACTATTATATATATATATATATATGTGTGTGTGTGTGTGTAATAAATAAAATTTTAATTGACCAAAACGTACAGAAAAAAATATTATTGGCCTGAAAGGCAATTGACTGATTCCTATACATCCTCTTTCACATTGCACAATGGAACCTGTTTAGTTAAATTGCCAAAGTTTAATTTGATGCAATAACAATTAATAGCAATTCTAAAATAAATATTTCAATTAATTTTGAATTGTAAACAGCATTGAATATATTATCCTCATTGTAATAACCGGAAACAAAAATAAATTTCACTGTTTAGCAAAAAAAAAACAACCATTAACGTCATTCATTGGGCCCCACACGTAAAGATGTCATAATATTGTCCACGTGGCACTCCATCATTGGTGGAATGACAGTAGTCCCACCCCGCCATGCTTCTAGCTTGCTCGTTACGACTCGACCAATTACCAAATATACCCCTTCTGGAAAACCAAGAAATAAATATGTATGATTATATATTTATATTAATTAGTTCAGTAATTTGCCAGGAAATAAATATTGGCAAATTAAGGAATATTATTCGCCATCAGTGGCAAAATAGACATTTCACAGCATAACACGGCAAAAACACTGATAATATTGTGAACGCGGGTGGACCCAGTCATCTTCACCTTCTCAGAAATTTCCCCTTCTCACTTTCTCTCTCTAAAAATCTTGTGTCCGGAAACCCCACTGGATTTCACTGAATCTCACCCCTCTTTGCGCTAGGGTTTCTTCTCTTATAAATCCACTTTGCTTTTTAATTGCTATCTAATTTTTTTTTACCCTTTCGAACTTTTTGACCTCTGAAGTATTGGATCAATGACTGTGCTTCCGGCGAAGGCTTTACCGGTGGGTTACCGATTTCGGCCAACTGATGAGGAGCTGATCGATCACTATTTAAGGCTTAAAATCAATAGGCATGACAAAGACGTTAGTGTTATTCGTGAAATTGATGTTTGTAAATGGGAGCCCTGGGATTTGCCTGGTAAATTTTCTCAATTTTTGTTTTTTCTTCGAGTTTTTGTCGTAAAAGGTTTTTTTTTTTTTTTTTTTGAAATTAGATTTCTATTTCTTTTGATTTTGATATACTTTGATTGAGAAGAAATTATCTTCATCGGTTTTTTTTTGAGGAATTTAACTTGCTTTTTACGAGCTGTAGAAATAGGATCATGGATTGTTATGTTAAGACTGGGTGGATCTGAAGTTCTGAACTCTCTTAGGGCTTATCTGTAAATGTAGCATATCGTAAACATTTGATTTTATTGTCTTATAACGAGCATTCGTTCGCTGATATTATTTATTATGAATTATTTTGGTATGCAAGCTACGTTCGGTATGAGATGATGTGGTGATCATTAGTTGTAAGCTTAATCAAAGAGTGTATTTCCCTCATTATAAATTATCTATTAATGTTAATAGATTGTTACTACCAGTTAGTGGCTTTTGAAAGCTGGAGTTTTATATTAACTTACAGATATTGATGAATTTTCATCTATCTACATTTTGCAGATATGTCTGTGATAGAATCTTTTGACAATGAATGGTTCTTCTTCTGCCCGAAGGATCGGAAATATCAAAATGGCCAGAGATTGAACCGAGCAACAGAAAAAGGTTATTGGAAAGCAACTGGTAAAGATAGGAACATAACTTCCCGAAAGGGAGCAAAAATTGGGATGAAAAAGACTTTAGTCTTCTACACTGGTCGTGCTCCAGATGGCAAGAGAACTAACTGGGTGATACATGAGTATCGTGCTACTGATAAGTCTCTGGACGGCACCCATCCTGGTCAGGTTGGAACTTCAGCATATACTCCTTTGATTTTCGTCGTAGGGTGTTAGATACCGTTTTACACTTCGTGTTGATTTGTCTGTGGTCATAGTAATATTTTCCTTTTTTTGTGAACTGTTTGCAAATTTCGTTGCCTTACGAAACTGAACAATATCTGCTACATGTGGATTTGTTATGAAAGTTAGCAGCTTTAATTAAATTAGTGGCATTTCATGAAGAAGTGGTCATTGGACCCTTAAATCTTTCTATACCTCGGGATGTTAATTAGTGAATTGTATTATGGTAGCTTTGAACAATATAATAAGCTTTGGGCTCTTCCTTTTTCAAATTGATAATGTGATGATTTATCTTACTAGGGGGCCTTTGTGCTGTTGCGGCTGTTTAGAAAGGCAGAGCTGAAACAAGATGAGATTGCTGAAAGCTCAAATATCAATGAAGCTGAAGAGATTGTCTTGTCTCCCACCGTTGTTAAATTTTCTGCGGAAGATGAAAAATCGGAATCACTAACTCCCTCTTCTACTGTCATGCCTGAAGTACAACCTTCGAGTGCCGAAAGCTGTCCAACTCCAGCTTTAAGTTTTGAGAATTATTTAGCTGACACTCCTTTACCCATTGATGGGCAGAGTGATAATTGGATTGCTGATGAGATGGACGTAAACGCACTCGACACAACATATATTCTTGTGAGTGAAAGAACTCAACCTTATTTCATGGCAGTGTTTTCTATACTTCTGTTATATTGTCTGTTTAGTTTTTATCTTTTTTCTCTACTTATGTTCTTTCTTGTACTCTTTTTTTTTTGATTCAGCCTAACCCAGAGCTGGAGAAATTGTTGCAAGATTTTTGTCCCCCACTGCAACAGACATCAGACAGTAAAATTTTCTCCCCGTTGCACTCACAGATGCAATCAGAGCTTGGAAATCCTTACTTTTATAACAGCTTTACTGGTGACATCAGCAATGAACAACATAATATCCCTTTACAATATGGAACAAATGCATCCGATATTAATGAGTTCTTGAACTCAGTTCTTATCGATCCGGAGGAGCAGAACGTTGGTGACATCTATTCTACATCATCTCTTGATAATCGCATGCTGCAATGGGTAAAGGAAAGTAACTCATGCAGTGAATCAGAGAGCGAGGTGTCCCAAAGACAGGTAAATGGAATTCATTTCATTCGTTTCACTGCAGTCTTTCAAAGTTAGATATTCCTTTGTATGCTAAAAACTTAACCCTTGCGACATTACGGTTTAATCTAGGTCGATCAAATTATGTTGCAATCTGAGTGGATTGGGGAAAATACGAAGCAAGAGTTTCCTTTCCAGAGTGAAGTTACATCTGAAATGGCATATGTTGGACAAATGGCTCACAACTCTCATGTTAGCAATGACTACGGCAATAGAAATTTGGCTTTTGCACATAACAGTTACAGTGTACCAAATGATTTCACGGCTAATTCTGGTGTCCATCAGATGTTCAACTTGTCCAATATTGAAGAAGGTGGTGGTTACATCCCTCCCACAGTGGGAGACGCCACTTCTGGAACTGGAATTATTAGAAGGACTCGTCAAATTCCAAATCAAATCGATGCCCAAAATCCTGCAAATCATGGAACTGCACCTAGAAGAATTCGCCTTCAGAAGAAATTTCAAGTAGGGCCAGTTCAGTGCCGCCTGCCTAGCGAGTCAACAGAGGTTGAATTTGTCCACCACCAAGGAAAGGAGACTACTCAGGTGAGAGAGATGTCTTTGCCGTCTAACTTTACCGATATTAATGTGCGCCTTCTTTACGGGTTCTAAATATTGCAAGTTTGGTTTCTGCAGGATGAAAAGGCAACTAATACAAATACTGTGGATGAAGTGAAGGAATCAACTTCCAATGAAGCAAATAAAGATGTACAATATCATGATAGCACAACTTTGAAGACAATGGTTGGCGAACCTGAAACCGTTACTTTTGTTAGGTCTCGTATTATGCCTAAGGTACTTGTGGCAGTTAGTCTCGTTGTCGTGCTTGTTGCTATATGGGGGTATTATGTATTTTGACTAGAACTAATTAGAAAGAAAGGTACCCTTTTTTGTATAGGACTCGAGTGTTTATGGGTTTTAACATTGGCCTGTGAATTTGCTTTTTTCGAATTTAGGCCTGTTGGATGTTATGGATATATGTATGTGTATTATTCAAGAGCAGACTCGTTTCTGTACATACTATGTAATTTAAATGGAGTTTCGGAGACTTATTAGGGTGTGTGTCTATGTATCGACTTTTATAGAGTTTTAAAGTGTTGCTGCTCATTGTGAATGTTTTTTCCGCAACATTTGCACAGTGCGAATGGTTTCTTATTGTTATTTTTGTACAACAGCCTTGCCCAGAAATCAGTTCTTGTGGAGTGAAAACATTTTCATTACATTATTAAGGGTAATTTAAAGAGTTAAATGCAAAAACACCCCCTGTGATTTTCCTAAACACCAAAAAACCCCCTAGGTAAAATTAAGTGACTAAAACCCCCCTGTGATTAGTAGTCAAAGTCATAAACCCCCCTCTATCTCATTCGTGTCATGCACGCGCTACCAACGCGACTGCTGGTGCGTTTTTTGTGTGAAAAGACGCAAATGCCCCTCTAAATCTCTCTTAGTTTTTCTACCATTTTAAACAAAAACAAAAGAAAAAAATCACTAAATATAAATGAAATAATTAAAAAAGAACAAAACACAATAAAAAAACAAAAAAAAAGAAGAAAAAGAAATCGGAATTCTCCTTTCTTCCTCCCGTCAAACTGACCAACCCCTAATTCATCTTCTTCGCCCATTTTGTTGTCCGACATCGCCATCTTCTCCGACGTTGCCCAGCGACCGCCGCCGCCGTTGCTGCCGCCGCTGCTGCCGCCGCTGCTGCCGCCGACGCTGCTGCCGCCGCCGCTGCCGCCGCCGCAAGTTCAGATCTTCTCTAAAGTCGTCGCCAATCGAGGTCCGGCGAGCTACACTTCGTCGAATTCTCCGACGAATAGCAAAGCCCATCGCAAAATCCTCTCAAACACAGCTGCCGTTGCAGCCGCCGTTGAGCTATGAGCTGAGAAATTGAAATTGAAGTGTGCGTTTTTTTTTTTTTTCAATTGGAGAAGAGGGCTAAATTGAAAGTGCTAGGGACTGAATTGAAAATTTTGAAAATTTCATTTAAGTCATAAAATTCTAGAGGTTTGATATATTTATCTGAAGGGCATTTTTGTCTTTTCGCGGGCGGTCAACAGACAAAAACAAAAAAGGGTCGAGTGTGCTTCATTGAACACTTGTTAGGGGGTTTTTGGTGACTTATTTTTTCCCAGAGGGTTTTTTGGCCTTTAGGAATTACACAGGGGGTGGTTTTGCATTTAACTCGTAATTTAAATAGTGGAGGATCAGTCATTGAAGAATGGCAGAAACAAAAAGATGATTGATTTAAGGGTAAATTCCACTTTCCCCCCTTATACTTTGGCTGGATATCACTTTACCCCCTTGTACTCTCAATTGCATTGATTTGCCCCCTTGTACTTTGGTTCGATATCACTTTACCCCATTCTACTCTCAATTCATCGATTTGCCCCCTTGTACCTTGGCTCAATATCACTTTACCCCCTTCTACTCTCAATTGCATCGATTTGCCCCCTGTACTTGAAAAATTGTTTCAATGCGGCCTCGCCGTTAGTTTTTAGACCTTTGACCTTAACACCGTTTGATCTAAGTTTGAAGATACAAAACAGTCACCCCTCCCAGTTTAAATAATTATTAATAAAATAAAATAAATAAAAATAATTTGTGGCTGACGTCGTGGACTATGTTTTCTCGCTGTCTTGAATTTTTTATTATTTTATTTTTTGTTTTATTTATTTATTTATTTTTTATTTTTTTAATAATTATTTAAACTCGGAGGGGTGACACTTTAGTAATTTTCAGACTTAGATCAAGCGGTGTTAAGGTCAAAGGTCTGAAAACTAACGGGGAGGGCCACATTGAGACAATTTTTCAAATACATGGGGGCAAGTCGATGCAATTAAGAGTAGAAGGGGTAAAACAATTAAGAGTAGAAGGGGTAAAGTGATATTGAGTCAAAGTATAAGGGAGCAAATCGATGAATTGAGAGTAGAAGGGAGTAAAGTGATATTGAACCAAAGTACAAGGAGGCAAATCGATACAATTGAGAGTACAAGGGGGTAAAGTGATATCGAGCCAAAGTACAAGGGGGGAAAGTGAAATTTACCCATTTAATGTATATTTAGCTGCAATTTTGTGGCTAATGAAACAAATTCACCAATTCGATTCATTCACTTCTTTTTTTTGATAAGAGAATGAAATTAATTAAGACCAAACAGAGAGTTTACAGGCGGGGAACCAAAATCACAACAATCACAAAAACAAGAAGAAGGAATAACAGAAGCAGAAACAACGCCATCCCATTTGGAATCAAAAGCCCATTTTGCAAGATTGTGGGCAGACATATTAGCATTCCTAGGGCAAAATTTGAATTTTCATTTTGGCCAAAGAGACCAAAATTTTCGAATTTCATCAACAAGCACTTTTGAAGACCATTGGACTGGGGAAGAACGATCTTTAATGAAAAGGAGAGCATTGAGGCAATCAGCCTCAAAGATAGCATTTTTGATCTTTTGTGAGTTGATGAAGAGGCAAGCATCACGAATAGCAAAAGCTTCAGCTGCAAGGGAATCATGACAGTGGTATTGCTTGGCATGAGCAAACACAATGGATCCATTGCTATTGCGGATAACAAAAGCTGCAGAAGAAGAGCCATCGATGAACGAGCAATCTGTGTTGATCTTAAGCCAATTCGATTCATTCACTTCAATCTATTATTTCTTGATCCGATTATGTTGGATTTTGGGTCCAATGGATTATTTATTCCAACCCATTAGCTAATTTAACCTTTAGAAAAAATAAAAGGGAAAATGTGTAGAGAAAAAAAAAATGGGGTGAGAGAGGCTCGAACTCTCGACCTCAGGATTACTCTGCGAAGCTATGAGACCTACGCGCTAGCCAACTGCGCCACCACCCCTTTGACGTTTGATCCAACTTGTACAATATATAAAATAAAATAACATTTACAGCAAGAAGAACCCGGTATTCTTGTTCATCGAAATTAGAACGGATTTCTTCTCTCCTTTTGCATAGAATCAACCCACAAATTTATTAAACAACGTACAACTGATTCCCACCAGAACAAGAAAAATGCGTCCATATTCCAACTTGTTAGCCGTTTTAGTTACGCTGATCACTTGTACAGCAGCAGCAGCAGCAGCAGCAGCAGCAGCATATACTCGTAGTAAAGGGACAAATAGCAACGATCAAGAATATGCAAAACAGATTTTTAGGTCAGCCCAGAAAGAAAAAGACTGGTTAGTATCAATTAGAAGGAAAATCCACGAAAACCCAGAACTCAGATTCCATGAATTCAACACCAGTGCCCTAATTCGGAGCCAACTCGACCAACTCGGCATTTCTTACGAATACCCTTTTGCTACAACGGGTTTGGTTGCTCAAATTGGGTCGGGTCTTCCACCCATTGTTGCTCTACGTGCTGATATGGACGCTCTCCCCTTGCAGGCAAGTCTTGGAAATTTCCTGCTTTCAATTGTTGCTTTTATTGATCCATTCAACTGTTGTGTATTGTGATTATCAAGTAGTATTTTTTGTGTCTGCAAATAAAAGCTCGAATTTTTGTTCTCTCAATTAATGATTGATGGATATATATATTTTATATTGAGTTTTTTGTGTTTGAATAGGAATTAGTGGAGTGGGAGCACAAGAGCAAAGTGGAGGGAGTAATGCATGGATGTGGGCACGATGCTCACACTACTATGCTTCTTGGTGCTGCTAAATTACTCAATCAAAGGAAGGACAAGGCTTACGGTTCGGTTTCGATTTCGATGAGTTCTATGACTTTGTCGATTTTTTTTCTATGAAATTAATTCAAAAGCGATCGATCTTTGCTTTGTTCGTTATGAAATTCATAAGGTCTCTCTTTATAATGTTGATTACGGTTTAGCGTGTTTCGAGAAATTTCTGCAGTCGGAGAGATGAATGTTAAAAGAAGTGTTCCGTTTACGATGATTATAACAAAAGTCTGCAAAATTTTTGCGATTTGGAATCTTAGGAATTCTACTTGTGCTTGTGTTCTGAGGATTTATCATTTATTTAATTCGTCTCTAAATATTTGTGGTTTTGGAACAATAAACTTGACTGATTTTTGTTATTTGTTTGTTTCGATAAATTGTATCGAATGGGAAAAGGGAACCGTAAGACTTGTTTTTCAACCTGCTGAAGAAGGAGGTGCAGGAGCATCCCATATGATAAAAGAAGGTGCTCTCGGTAATTCCGAAGCAATATTCGGCATGCATATCGATTATGAAGAACCTACCGGAACTATTTCCACTATTAGTGGACCGATTTTAGCTGCTGTTTGCTTCTTCGAAGCCAAAATATTCGGTAAAGGCGGCCATGCTGCAGAACCCCACAATACCATCGATCCGATCATCGCTGCTTCTTTCGCAATCTTGTCTTTGCAAAACCTCGTTTCGAGAGAAGTCGACCCTCTTCATAGTCAAGTGTGCCATATACAATCTAACTTGAGTTTCTTAAAAAAAAAAAGACGAAAAAATGTAAAGATTTGTGTTTGTGTTTGTGAGTGCAGGTGCTTTCTGTTACGTATGTCCGAGGTGGGACCGCGTCGAACGTAATACCGGACTATGTCGAACTAGGTGGCACTCTCCGAAGCCTTACAACTAAAGGGTTACTTCAACTCCAACACAGGGTCAAAGAGGTAAATTTTCATGCATTCCTTTAGAATATAAACACACGAACGACATGAGATGTTTGATTATATTTCGGTGCAAATTGTATGTATAGGTAATCGAAGGGCAGGCAAGCGTGCACAAATGCAAAGCGTACGTGAGCATGAAAGAAGACGAATACCCCTCGTATCCAGCTTGTGTGAACGACAAACGATTAAACGAGCACGTGAAAAAAGTGGGGGGGCTATTGCTCGATCCGGATAACGTAAAGGAGGCGAAAATGGTGATGGCTGGTGAAGATTTTGCGTTCTATCAAGAAGTGATTCCGGGTATTATGTTCAGCATCGGGATCAGAAACGAGAGAATAGGTTCGGTGCACTCTCCTCATTCGCCGTATTTCTTTCTTGATGAAGATGTTCTTCCTATTGGAGCTGCATTGCACACTGCTCTAGCAGAGTTTTATCTGAGAGGACAAATTTCTGGTGCTCTTGATTTAGATATTTAGGGTTTTTGTGTTTGTTTATTAATTAGTTAATTAGCACTGTTTTAGGTTGTATTTGATATAAATAATTACATGGAGATCCATAATGCTTACTCTGTATATATAAAACTTGTTATATATTTCTAGAATGCAGTTTTTTATTATTATTTTTTTTCCCTCTTTAATTTGTGTCCTGGTATATATATTTATTTATTTATTTTGACTCCAAGATTCAAAGAAAAGACCACCTGAAAATAGATTTGACTCCCAAATCCCAATTCTCTCTCTCTCTCTCTCTCTCTCTAGATCTAGAGAGAGAGAGGAAGCACTTCCACTATTTTCACTTTTGGAGACACATGTACTTTGTCTAAAGTTCACATTCCAGCTGGAAAAGCAAGGCATATGAAAATTATTATGAAAATTTTCAAGCACCAAAAAAAACAAAAAAAAAGTAATTTTGAGCATTATATTAAAGTAAATAATGATTAATAATGTAGAATGAGGTGATATATTAATTAAAGGTGGAAAATATGTTCCTTTATAGATAAAGTTAAGAAGCAAAATGGGTGGTTGAGCTTTTGTAGCCACTGTATCTAACCATAACCAGCTTTTCTACTAATGACGGTTAATTAGAATTTATTAAACTTGATTAAGAACAATATGCTTTTTGCAGAAATGTAAAAGATAATTAATTATGGTAGTCTTTAATTTTAGGAGGTGGAAACGTTAGCTGGTTATCTACATATGCTGACTCATTTCCACGCTAGAAAAAAACACAAACTTGTCAGCATTTGTACAAATTAGATGTCACACTATTTAACTAAACACTAAAACTGACAAACTGGGCTATCAAAATTCAGCTTTCATTTTTAACTTCAAAAACTATAGTTAGGTAAGGTTGCTCATCCAATAATTTATCAAGATTCTGCTTTCAGAAACTGTATTTTTGCACGACACGAATACAAACTACTGAACTTTTTACAGAATCTAGAAAAGTGGACGTGTAACAAACATGAGGCGGTTTTTTCGTAATTTTACCCTAAAAGTAAAGATGTAAAGATTAACACGTATACAGTTAATTTCAGTTCTTCATATATTGTATGATTCAAACTCTACATGTGGGATTTGCTACAAGCATTTGAAACGCATTTTTCATTTAAAAAAACGAAAAAAAAATGAGGAGAAATATATAGTACTAGAAGTTTTATTTTAATATTTTGAAATGCTAAAGATGTGAGATGAAACAAACCATGTGAGACCAAGTAGTTCGTTACACGCAATTCATGAGCCCTTTAATTTTGGCTTCCCCCAAGTTTAATTAGTTTTAATCTTTTGATCAACTTCCAAAGTTAGTTTTTTAAATAAAAAAAAATGTTATAAAACACACGCTTTAGAGAAGGACGACCAGTCCTTTTTTTTACCTTACAAAAACAAAGCAAGAATTGAATGAGTGGATATGCATCAAGAACGCGTAACAAGTGAACCCCTCTTTACTGTATATAGCCTTGTCCTTAATTAATTACCTAATGACAATTATAATTAGGTATTTGTGATTAATTTAGGTTACAAGAGTGACACTAGCCAAACTCACTTTCTTCAAACCTAAGCCACTCATCTTATTTCACCTTTCCACATTTTAAATCACACGCCAAACTAATTAACCTACATATATATGTGACTGTCAAAATTCTCATTCTCCAACTAATCACATTAATTAATTAACAACACAAAAATTTGGAGAAAATAAAAAATAAAAAGAATTAATAATGTATTATTAAGAGGACCTCTCTCTCTGCATGTGCTCCCCAATCACATAGTCCTGCTTTAAATAAAATAATCCACACCGTCCATTCCTTTACACCCTCCAATATAAATTCCTCAAATTCTCTCCAATTAATACCCCTCCCTCCCTCTTTTATTTCTTGTCAGAGATCAATTTCTGCTAATCCTTTTCTTTTTAGTACTAATCAGCATTTAAATATTCTAAGCGATCGATCGAGGTTAGTTAATCACGTACATCGCAATGGGTGAAGAAGCTAAAAAGGTTAGTTAAGTTAGTGTTTTTCATTATTGCATGAAAAAATGGTACTAATAATAACCTATTCATGTAATGTAATTTGATTAATTTCCTTAAAAAAAAATTTAATTAATTTTAGGAGGAAGAGAAAAAGGAAGAAGAGGCGAAGAAAGACGAGAGCACTATTGCCGAAGAAAAGAAAGAAGAGAAAGCTGACGAGACTAAGAAAGAAGACACGAAACCACCGTCGCCTTTCGTTTTGTTTATGGACTTGCATTGTGTGGGATGTGCAAAGAAGATTGAGAGGTCCATTCTTAAGATTAGAGGTTTGTTTGTTTTTATAATTTTAATTAATTATAATTATTCTTCAAAATTAATTACGATAATCGAAGTTTAATTTGATTAATTAGGAGTGGAGGGAGTGTCGTTCGACATGAAGAAGAATGAGGTGACTATAAAAGGAGTTGTGGAGCCACAAGCTGTGTGCAATAGAATCATGAAGAAAACTAAGAGGAGTGCTAAAGTTTTGTCTCCTTTGCCTGTAGCTGAAGGTGAACCTTTGCCTCAAGTTGTTGCCTCACAGGTATTATTACTTATTTCAAGGACTAAGTTGCAATTTATTATACCTGCTTAATTACAGGGTTTATGTGAATCAATTTGATGCAGGTTAGTGGATTAGCTACCGTGGAGCTTAACGTGAACATGCATTGTGAGGCCTGTGCGCAACAGCTCAAAAAGAAGATACTTAAAATGAAAGGTAAATAAATTTAAGTGCGGTTTTTGTAATTTCACACATTTTCAGGGGCTAAAGGGTAAATAATAACTTTTTATTTATTTATTGGTGTAAATAACTGCAGGAGTTAGTACTGTAGAGACGGAATTAAGTTCGAGTAAAGTTACGGTGACGGGAACAATGGACGCCGATATGCTCGTGGAGTACGTGTACCGGCGTACGAGAAAGCAGGCGAAGATTGTGCCGCAGCCGGAACCGGAGAAGCCGCCGGAGGAGGAGAAAAAGGAAGAAAAATCAGATGCTGCTGCTGCTGAAGAAGCGAAGCCGGCCGAAGGGAAGAAAGAGGACGGCGAGGGTAAAGAGCCGCCGCCGGAGGAGGAGAAGAAAGACGACGGCGGAGCGGCGGCGGCGGAGGAAGGCGGTGAATCGAAAGAGGAGGTGAAGATTTTGGAGGAGCAATCGATGCATAAAATGATGTACCGCCATTATTATCAGCCGGTTTATATGATCGAAAGAATTCCGGCGCCACAGCTTTTCTCCGACGAAAACCCTAATGCGTGTACCGTTATGTAAAAAATGAAAATTAAAAAAATATATTGCTAATTATTTGATCAATATATTATTAATTTGATCAATATAATGATTAATGCAATACTATCTTATTTCTCGTTATATAAAATTAGTATATCATTATATTATTAATTTCTTTCAATTATTTCTTAATTTTTGTTCTTTGCTTGTAATATCGATTAAGTATGTCATTATCATGTATATAATACACTAAACTATAATTTAAAACTTTGAATTATAATCTTAATTTTATTTTATTTTTTTTTTATTTTTTTTAAGTGAGAATATGAAGGATATTATTAATGGAACTTATACACACGTGTTTAGTTAGTGTAGCCTAACATAACGAATTGAGACGTGGCTTATTCAATTTTATGCTAAAAAAGGTTAGTTTATGTAACCAATTGGTTGTGTCATTTGTTATTTAAAGCCAATAGAGTTCAATAAATTTCATACACGAATTAAATGTGACAAATATGACAGTTTTTATTGAAAACAATTTTTTTTTTCCAATTTCTCAATTTGATGTAGCATCACTTAATTGGATAGATGCCTAGCCAAATAGATGGATATGTCATAAGAATTCTAAGGAGCTTAAAAAAAATAATAAAATGGTTTGTAGAAAAAAAAAATGTAATTCGAATAATGAGTCGTGGGTCTATTTATAATTAGGTTAGTGGTGTAATTTAATTAGAATATAACTCTAATCAAGTTAAATAGCCTTTTTGTTTTGGCTTCTGTTTTGGACTTGAGATGTCGACTGAATATAGGAGGAAACAAGTGAACCAATTTCGATCTACCCAATTAGATATATCATAATTGAAAAAGAAAATATAGAAAAAAAATGGTATACATCCCTTTTAATCATCAACCAACAACCCTTTTTTCTATGTATTAATAATCAACTAAATTAATTGATCTATGGGGAAGGATTTAATCAAGCAATCGAGTACCATATTCCATAATTATTTTTGAAATAATTGTAATATATAGTTAGGTGTGATGCAATTGCATGTCACATGGCAGAGTACTGAGGAGATGTTATCCGATGTGTTAAGTTTTGGAATTTGTGGAGGTGGAGAATCAAACGGGTCCAGTCCGATCCATTTACCCAAAATGGGTTCCACGTGGTAGGACCCGTTTCTCCCTAACAATTAATGAGATCCGACTCATCATCCCATTTGTATTGGACCAATCAGAATTTGTTGTTCATAATTTAGTATTAAATATTAATCAATCCCTAAATAATTAAGTAACAGATCTACTATTAATAAATCATGTGGAATGAGTTAGCTAGGAAAGTTGGAGCTCTCAGAATAATTATCAGGTGATTAGTGTTAGTAGTATTAATCATGGCACCAAGATTATTAAACATTAAACATTCAATTAGTGAGAATAATTTAGTCGCTTGCAATACCACTTTATAGTATTAAATTTAGTTTATCAAGGTTTAATTAATCTTTAATACATCATCATCTACTTTGTTGGGCGCCGCAAGGCTAATCTAAAAGCTTGGAAATTAAATTGTTCTATAAGTTTTAAGGATAATTAAATAGAAACATACATACATACATTAAAATTAACACAAACAAATTAATTAACTCCTAATTAGAGTCCTAATAAACATTAATAATTATTCATCAACTTGGTTGCTAAGAAAAATAGCCCACATGGCCACAAATTCCAATTCATCAATTTGTTTTTTGACTAGGCAAACAAAAATGATGACGTACACACATGCAGCTTTACAATTGTGTGAGTCACTCTTTAATTTACTTTTCTCAGAAATCTCCAAAATTAGGCTAAGTGTGGATAATGGGGTTTATCTAATTCTTGAAAAGCAAACACATGCATGCAGATTATATTCCCTTTCCTCTAAAAAGAAGATGCATTATATTTTATATATAGGCACTTTATTGTTGTAACTTGTATGTATAGGTTATATATATAAATATAGGGTTCAAAATTGCAGCAAGTTATAGCAAACATTATTACAAGCTGCGGTAATATATAATATACAATGGCTAATAATGATGAACTGCAAATCAAGAAGAATGTAGAGGCACAATTTGTAGAAATGATGGTTCCTTTGTACTCTTATGGATGTGCTAACAAAATCAAGAAGGCTTTGGCTAATGTCAAAGGTAATTAAATTACTTTTGATTTTTTTTTATAATTAAAAAAAAAAAAAAGGAAATTGCATGTAAATTGGATATTTCACTTGATTGATTAATATTTGTCCGAATACGATCGTCATTAATTACATTATTTTCGGAAAAATATGTTACGTTTATTGATCATTTATCGTAACATGGTATTGGGCCAACTGTATTTTCTTCAATGGCCCAAACGATAATAACAAATTGGGCTTAAATTATCATTTTAATTTCCATATATTTTTTTTAATGTGATGGATTTTGCAATGATTTAATTTAGTGATGTAGTATAACGTTAATTATTTGTAGGAATATACTCGGTGAGTGTGGATTTGCAACAACAAAAGGTGACAGTATGGGGAATATGCGACAAGTACGACGTCGTCTCAATTGTGAAGAACAAGAGGAAACGGGCTCGTTTATGGGATTCGGATCAAGATCATTGCAATCAAAATCAGTTAGTTGATCAAGAATCGTACTCCTTGCCTTCGTCGCCACCGCAATCTTCTTCTAAATTTTCACTGCCTAAGATGACGTCATCTTCTCGCTATTTTGCGTTGATAAAAGATCGATCTTTGAGCTTAAATTTGTCCACGACAAAGTATAAAGCTTTAAATTGGAAAGCATTGAAGAAAGTGTTTACTGTAAGTTTTATTTTTATTTATGGCCCATTAACCTTTGAATTTATTTTATTAAATGTGGGTAATTCAATTAAGGTATTAAGGTGATTTTATGGTAATTGATTTGTAACGTTGATGGCAATAAAAGACCATGATGGGTGGGATTTGTCTTCTGGCGTTACAAATCAATCGTGGCCCTCTTCTCTCATCTATAAAAGAAATCCACAGCTCTTCTCCTCAACCATCAGACGTAAATTGAATTCCATCACTTACAGAAATATTCGTGAGTTGTGATATTAGAGAGATAGAGAGAAGAAGGTGTGCTACGAATAAAGTTCTCAAGGAGATTCGAAGGAGGCCTGGCTAGGCTCGGCTTGTAGATTGCTATCGTTCATCATCTTTATCGGAATTCATGGCGAACGGTATGTCGATAATCCTAATTATGTGTTTATGTTCTTAAGATGAATTTGATTTCAAGATTCTGTGATTAAAGTTTTTCCGCATAAATTAAATAAAAGTCTTTCAATTGGTATCAGAGCAGGGTTTTGAAATCGATTCATCTTGGAACTCAAATTTGTTATATGTTCTTCTTACGGCTGTATGATTTCGTGGCTTTAAATTTTGAGATAAAATAATTGTTTTGTTGTCTGATTATAAATTAATTAATAAACGATATTGATTGATATATGTGTTTTGATAACTGATAAATTTTGTGTAGTTATCTGTACCCTTGATATTTGTAATCTATTGGATTATTATTTGGGATAGTCTTCTGCAAAACACAACTTTTCCACGAATTGATCTTTTGATGAACGTGTCAGAGACTTTTCTCTGAATTGCTTGACTAATGTATATTTTTCATTTAATTTATTAAAATATGTTCGATTTGGGTGTTTTAAAAAAAAAAAAAAAAAAAATAACCCTGACTGGGTTTTATATGTTACGGCATCATACATGTATTGTATGCAATTATACGTAATTGAATTATTCTGTATGGATACATTTTTTGAAGTACATGAATATATTGCAAAATTGTGTCTCTGTCATTATTTTATAAATTGTATATGTTGTTGTATAATTGACACGTGATACGTGTGTGGGGTAATTATATGTCTGTGTCTTTTATCACTTAAATCAAAATGACTAGAATATTATTAGTTTTATATTTATGAAATTTACTATTCTTGTAGTTGCTAAAGTGACCTAGATTAGTAAATCTAATAAATATAAGAACTATATGAAAGTTTAATCATTTACATGATATTAAAGATTATAATATTCTCAAATTGCAGTCATAATTAAGAAATTGAGACTAGCTCAAAAGATAGTCGATTTTAATTAATTATGAACTGGGTGGGGTATCATAATTTTATTACTTAGCAATTATAATTGTTTACCTAAAGGTAACATGAATAATTGACGAGTGAGACGAATTATGTTAGACCCTACTTAGGTGTTATAAAAGATCATTTACACCAACATAGAGTGAACAATAGGTATGCTGTATTTCACCCAAAGGCGAACTTGTAGTGATATCGATAGTTCATCTTATTTGACTCAAGGTCTTATATGAGCATCCTTTTATCTTTACCTTATATATTTGCTATATTTATTTCAGTTGCTATTCCTACTTCATTGTACTCGCATGCTTCTGGTATTAAGACTCTCAGTGGGTCAAATTTCTCCGAATGGTATGAACAAATTCAATTCACCTTGGGTGTTATGGATTTGGACCTAGCATTGCTTACTGAAAAACCTGGGGAAATAACGGATGCTAACAGTGAGGAAGAAGTTAGCCTAATTGAAGCCTGGACCAAGTCCAATAGGCTTAGTCTTATGCTTATTAGAATGACTGTTGCTAATAACATTAAGACTTCCCTTCCCGAGGTTGACAATGCTATGGAACTGTTAACGGCTATTAAAGAACGCTTTAAATCAGCGGACAAGTCGTTAGCAGGGACACTCATGGCTGAATTGACTACCATGAAATATGGTGGTGATAAGGGAATTCAGGAACACATCCTGAATATGACTGATAAGGCTGCCAAACTTGGAGCTCTTGGCATGAAAGTGGAAGAATCCTTCCTTGTGCAATTTATCCTTAACTCACTTCCATCAAAGTTCGGCCCATTCAAAATCCACTATAATACTCAAAAAGATAAGTGGAATTTGAATGAGCTGACTAGTATGTGTATTCAAGAGGAAGTGAGATTAAAGCAAGAAGGAAATCACTTTGCATTGGCTGTAACTCATGGAAGTATGAAGAAGAAAGGGAAATTTGTGAAGAGTGGAAAGAAATTTTCACCAAACAAAAGATATGAACCTGGTGAAAGTAGTCAGGGTCATGGAAAGGCTTTTGTTGTCACCTG